TTGAGGAATATTTCACTTGCCTCGTATTGTCACTCAGTATATCAAAGTCGATACATTTCAGGATCCAAGTCGTTCTAATCATTTCCCAAAGCTTATTGAACAATTGAATTCATTCACCTCTACTGAATCGGGGGTGTCAACTAGAACCAGACAGTTTCTTAAACACAAAATGGATCTATGAAATCAAGAGTTTCACGACCTGGCACCAATACTGATCATTTTTGAGGGTTTTTGCAAACGAAACAAATCGCTCGCGAATGAATACAGACTACACGGTGGCCGAGGAAGTCAGTAAAAATCCAGTCATGGAGCTCAGTTATCAAGTCAGCCATGGAGGCAATAATTCAATTATCTGAGTTTCACGTGCCGCTATTGAGTCGCGTTCCGCCTCGGTCACCCCTTTTCCAGAAGAGTTCTGACGAGATTTACGAGTAGAAATGTAAAACACTTCATAACGTATATTGCAAAAGTTGAACATTCGTTAGATCACATAAGAACTTGGAAATTTCGATAACTGTCGAATTTTTGTGATAAAAGTCGAAAATCCGAGATGGAAGATACAATTTCTATCTGAGAGTGAGAGAGTTTGGAATTTTCCACTGTACAAATAAAAAACCTGTAGCACTATGCATGAATTGATTTCAATTTTTTCTATAAAATAGTTCGTCTTAACAATGTTTGATGAGCTCATATTCTTTGTACTTTCGAAATCAGTGATGAGAAATCAAAAATATCAATCAAATTTATTTTAAGCACCTCAAGGTGTGATCTGACCTTGGAATCAACGCCACCGATGCGTACCAAATGCGTCTGTCGTACTCGATATGTTTGCATTGCCTGCTCATTCCAAAATCGAGATATAGAGGGGATATCAGAATAATTGGTCCAACCTATGGATGGATATGATAGAAAAAACTGTTTCATTTTCCAATAACGGAGGAACCTATATTCCGGATATTTTGGTAATAATACATTGCGACAGAAAGATGTATTCGAACTAATAATGATCATAATAATAATAACGATGATTAATGCTTTCATTATACCGATGGAACAAATGGCAGAGTTCAACTTGCCCATGAAACGACAGTTCACTGAGGAAAAAAATTTGTAGCCATTACTAAAAAATTAGTAACTACAGAAGAAATTTTTAGTACGATAGGGGACAGCAAGCATTAGTTGTTGCCATAACTAATTCTGTTTTTCTGGAAACGCCTATTTGCCTCTAATGAAAAGTTTAGTTGAGTCATCTACGACGTTGTTGTGGTAACTAATAAGCCTTTTTAAGGAATAATACCAAGTTTTATTTGCCACAATCGACATACATAGTTATGACAATTAGATTGTTAGTACTGTTTCAATATATGTTTGTTATCACAACAAATTATAGCAGTTGGGGCAATTACTCATTTCTTCTGACGTTAATAGTGAGTGTGTTGTTGCAAATTGAATATTTAATTGTGACTGAAATGGAATCTCGTTACTATTAAAAGTGATTAAGTAACGTTTGAAATATAATTTAGTCATTCTGGCAACTTAATAGTTTTATATCAATTAAAATCAAGGCACCATTCTAATAATAACAGTTTGTATGCCATTTTCCTTCCAATTTCCAATGGAATCGTGAACAGGAATACACCACACACTGTAAGTGCCACAGGCCACAGCTCAGCAAATAGAGAGGGAATTATAAATATACACCGTGTACACGTGACGTCGGTTGGACGTTTCTCACCGTCACCCGTCGTAAAACTGAACTGAATTGTGAATAGGTACCTAAACCTGATAACTAGTGACGCACAGATAATGATGGTAAACTGCGAATTATCATTTTGCCAACCAAATGCCAAATGGCTCAGCGCGAAGTGCAAAAAAACACAAAACAGTGATTTGAAAACACACAGAGCAGTGAACCAGCAAGAACACGACGCTCCCGGCTACACTAGACAATAATTATTTTATTTATTTTGTCTACACTGAGGGAAAAAATTTGTAGCCGTTACTAAAAAATTAGTAACTACAGAAAAATTGTTTAGTACGATAGGGGACAGCAAGCATCAGTTGTTGCCATAACTAATTCTGTTTTTCTGGAAACGCCTATTTGCCTCAAATGAAAAGTTCAGTTGAGTCATCTACGAAGTTGTTGTGGTAACTAATAAGCCTTTTTAAGGAATAATACCAAGTTTTATTTGCCACAATCAAGATACATAGTTATGACAATTAGATTGTTAGTACTGTTTCAATATATGTTTGTTATCACAACAAATTATCCCAGTTGGGGCAATGAAATGGAATCTAGTTACTATTAAAAGTGATTTAGTAACGTTTGAAATATAATTTAGTTATTCTGAAAACTTAATAGTTTTATATATATCAATTAAAATCAAGGCCCCATTCTAATAATAACAGTTTGTATGCCATTTTCCTTCCAATTTCCAATGGAATCGTGAACAGGAATACACCACACACCGTAAGTGCCACAGGCCACAGCTCAGCAAAAAGAGAGGGAATTATAAATAGTGACGTCGGTTGGACGTTTCTCACCGTCGCCCGTCGTAAACTGAACTGAATTGTGAATAGGTACCTAAACCTGATAACTAGTGACGCACAGATAACGATGGTAAACTGCGAATTATTATTTTGCCAACCAAATGCCAAATGGCTCAGCGCGAAGTGCAAAAAAACACAAAACAGTTATTTGAAAACACACAGAGCAGTGAACCAGCAAGAACACGACGCCCCGGCTACACTAGACAATTATTTTATTTATTTTGTCTAAGCTCGACGACCGTGCGATCTATCCACTATTAAGATACAAGTTCAAATGATGAAGCAGAAAGACAAACAGATGCAAGATGCAATTTTTGCCGGTGGGTCCCGAAGAGACGCGAGGCGGTCCCGAACGACGCAGTACAACTAAAATTATTAGTTATGGCTAAACAATTTCTGCTATGAATAATAATAAACCTTTTACGATAAATGTGTCATCAGTTGTGGCAAATAGTCAGCTGTTGTTAGTAACCCCAGAATGAGGTTTTTTAACCCCAATATGAAATTTTAATTGACTGAATAGACAACACTGTGATCATTCTGTCACAAATAGTATTTTTATTGATGACAAATAATTGGCGAAAAATAGAAGAGTCATTTGTAGGAAATAAGGATACGTTGTCATTGTTAATAAAATTCCAAATACTTTTAATTATCGGTACTAAAAAAATACCAACTAGACGTTTTAATTAACCAGTTTTTCTCAGTGTAAGCTCGACGACCGTGCGATCTATCCACTATTAAGATACAAGTTCAAATGATGAAAGATGAAACAGAAAGACAAACAGATGCAAGATGCAATTTTTGCCGGTGGGCCCGAAGAGATGCGAGGCGGTCCCGAACGACGCAGTACAACTAAAATTATTAGTTATGGCTAAACAATTTCTGCTATGCATAATAATAAACCTTTTATGATAAATGTGTCATCAGTTGTGGCAAATAGTCAGCTGTTGTTAGTAACCCCAGAATGAGGTTTTTTAACCCCAATATGAAGTTTTTATTGACTGAATAGACAACACTGTGATAATTCTGTCACAAATAGTATTTTTATTGATGACAAATAATTGGCGAAAAATAGAAAAGTCATTTGTAGGAAATAAGGATACGTTGTCATTGTTAATGAAATTCCAAATATTTTTTTCTACTCACATAACTAAAATGGCATTTATCGCACGGATATGTACCACGCTAAATGATCGATTAATCACGGATTGTCGATCTGTGATTTATTCAAAATATTAAACACGTTACCATGGCAACACGATTTCTTAAACACATCACCATGGCAACGCAGTTCATTAAACACAGCTTCAGTAATTCGAGACATGTCTGGCCTGTCAATTGAATTAACTGTCAACTGTTATTTTCATATTTTGTATCAGAATTATTCAAACAATATTCGTTTGTATTGGAATTCTTCATTAAAAATATATGCGAAAAGTAGACGAGAGTGGAATCGATGAAGAGAATGGTCAGGTACTTACATACCTCCAAGAAGTGTAAAAATGAAGCATCCATCTTTGAGAACAATTTATTTATTCTGCGCTAAGCATGACAATAAACGTGAAACAAAGCTTCGTAAGCAATGGACTGGACAGATCTACAACCAATATCACTTATACGTGTATCGCTGGTTGCATGCAGTTGTATGTGTTATGTTTTCAATTCCCATTCCTTTCGAATTATTTTGTAGGTTAGCAGGAATAGCAGGTATGTTAATGTTAATTAATGTAATTTTTGGACTTCGTAGAAAAATCATAGTATGTAACGCGTTTATAAACTCTTCTAGACACTCGTTTATTAAACACTCGCTCCGCTCTGCTCCGCTCGTGCTTAAACTACTCGTTACTAAAATGACGTTTATAACACTTGTTACATAATATACTATTAATTATCGGTACTAAAAAAATACCAACTAGACGTTTTAATTAACCAGTTTTTCTCAGTGAATTGCTTTTCGACTCCATGATTCAGCTTCGTCTACAAGTTATGCAATTTTTGATACTTGTTACTGAATCAATCACCTTTTTTTTTCTTCTTCAGTTGTATTTGAGGAAGCGTCAATTCAATTTCAGAAAGCGTCAATTGTATTCCAGAAGGCATCAATTGTATTTCAGAATAGTCAAATAAATTTTTCAAAGCATCAATTTCATATCAGATTAGTCACTAGTATTTCGAAAATTTCGAATAGTCAAATGAATTTCGAAAAGCGTCATTTGTATCCTAGAAAGCGTGAAATATATTCCACAAAGTGTCATTTGAATTAACATTTCATAGTTACTGAAATTCAATTAACGGTTTCTGTAATTCAATGACGAATCTGAAATACAATTGATGCTTTCTGAAATACATGTGACTATTCAGGAGTACAATTGACGCTTTCTGAGATACAACAGGAAAAGGGGAGGTGAACACTAACTTAATTTTTTCACACATCTGTGGATACTCACCATAACTAATCCTTTATAAGCGTAGATAACAGACAACCAAACATTATTATGCTGGCTTTCGCAGTGCTCCAGTTCTGGCCTGATCATAACATCGTCCATCAAGGAGGCTGGTGATTCTAACGGAAATATCTCAATGCGTCGCTGAAGAGGATCCTGAAGTTGCCAGGCCAACATAATGATGAAGTCGACCGAGAGTAGTCCCGATACCATAGAGTATAATTTCCAAGGCTGGACTTTTTTCTGAAAGGATACAATAACTCATATGCATTATGTTGTTAGCCAATGAACAACTCTGAATAAATCTGGTACTCAAATCCTACAGGGTGTCCGGTCCATTATTCATCATATTCTTGCAGGTTATGAACAAATCCATAAGCTATCACAAATTCAGAACTTTACCTCAGTGAGAACCCCACGATTTTCAAGACTTTATATGACATTCATTCACGATCTACACCGAGAGAAATATCTATTAGCTGTTCTTCAAAAGATTTCTGAATTGAATAGGCACCATCATAGTTTCCTTTACACTGTAATCAAATCCCCCATTTCAAAAACAGAATATAACTGTGAAACAACACTTATATAAGAATGAAGTGACTCTCAAAAAGAAGTCAAAGAGAGTCCATAAGAATGAAGTTGGTCGAAGATCGTCGAGAAATATTGAAGTTATATCTACTCAGTAGAGTTCTTTATTGGAACTACAGGGCATTGAAATGCATCACGAGGGCAAGATACTCAGTACACAATATCTCAGTTTGCCTACGATGAAAATTCTTTCAATTTGGAGTATATGTTCTTTTTGTCACTACCTTGGATCATCAGTTAACATATTTGCCAAACATTTATACGGTGGCGTCAGTGAATTAGCATCCACTTATCACGAAACGGAAATGAAGAAAACTTTCTTTTTCGAAGCAACGAATGAAATCATACGAATCGAATAAATACATATACACCGAGTCCAAGATAAGGATACGAAGACATTCTTATCATGAACATACTGTATACGCAATACAATCTATCACCGATATACCTGTGTGAATTAAAGCTTTTGCCACTATAGTGAATAGTGAGGTTGTTCAAAAATTAATGTGTGAATGTGAATATGTCCTGAAATTTCTAGAAGAACTTCCAACCACTTAACTTTTTCAAAAAATCATCACCGTGTAAAGAGGGTTCACGAGCTGCTGCGGGCTAATATGTCCTTACATCCAGATATAGACGACTAACGATTCTGATGAAACAAGTGTTCATAGGTGAGTGAAATGGCTCTTTGTGGTCAACTAGTATGATGAAGATGGTAAATGGAGGAGGGATGGAACTTGAATGATATTTGTATACCTGTATAACTGTATAATTGTAGTTCTATCTTGTTCTGTTCCAAATCTATGAAGTTACTTCTTCAAAACAAAAAGAGTGATTTGGGTAACGTGACATACTCGAATAAACATTCAAAACGTAGACTTTTCACGTTCATCAGATGACATTTTGTGATTGAAATGTTTGATTAAGCAGTTAAAGAATATTCCCGAATAGATACTCGTATAACTGGATTCTTCTCGGTGTACAAGAAAAAATATCCTCCGATTCGTATCCTCAATGATTTTCCATAACTGGCATTCGTTCAAATTTTTTTCTTAGAACTTGAATTACTACTATCGAGAATAAATATCACCATGAAGTGCTCCTTATCAGCTTGGAATATGAAAATAGAAATTCAATTATTTCATCAAAATTCTGGTATCTCAAACACCGTCGGTATCACTGGGGAGGATGATGAATGTTTTACTGAGCACCCTGTATATGTTCCCTTTACAGATTGACCAAGCCTGAATGTTATGAAAGACAAACATTCGTTTTCTATTTCCGATTTTAATGTTTCCCGAAGTGCTTCGAAGCGGAATCGTATGAGAGATCCCTCACAGTTCAGAATTGATAGATGAAAATCAAATGCCAGCTGGAAATCACATGAGAAGTATTGGTACAACGAGATATCTTGTTACACTTGTGATGATTCATTGTTACAATACAATGATATAGTAGTTATGATCACATTCTGATATCATGAAAGTAAGCATTCGATTCTAGATGAACCCAAATATTGTAATTTTTCATCGAGTGAGTTTTATATGAACTCGAGGAAAAAGGAGCATCATTTCAAAGAATCAATTTATACATACGTATGTCCCGTAATATTTTCCGAATGTAGTGGACATTCTATGAAAGATTCATCATCTTGTTCGAAATGAAAAAGTTCCTCGTTCATTGGTGAAGGCAAGCTTCATTTTTACGTTTTTGTATGTCACGTGAACTAGTAAGAACTGAGAGGAAATTATTGCATTTGGAATTGAGTATACGGAACTGATCAACAAACTAAAAGGCATGATTCGAAATTGATAATCTTGCTGTTACTTTATATATGCGTAGGTTCCACGTATTTACGACCAGAATAGTAAACAAACCACGAGTATATATTTCTGTTTGCCGAGCTGAAACTCACACAATAACGTGATTCTTACGCCCCGTCGATTTCGAAATTACGTATTGATGTGTTTCATGATGATTCTTTTCTCTTTATTATACCAATCAATAACAAGTTGCGGTAGGTACTACGTATTCACCACCAAAATGCCAAACGAATCACGAGTATATATTTTTGTTTGCCGATGTAGCAGAAACCCACACAATAACGTAATGCTTACGTCCCGTCGACGTCGACATTACGTGATGATGTGTTATATGAATATTTTCTTCTCTTCATCATTCCAACTATGAAGATCACGTACGAATGAATGAGGAAAAAAATGGAGTGCTTGAAGAATTGAGTGGACCACTCGAGTTTTAGACGATTCGTAAAGTGTGATACCTTTTTGGCAAATAAACCGATTTTCAATCGAAATGAACTTTCTTTTTCAGGATTCATCATTCGAAATTTTTCGAAGTATTCCCTAGGATTCTTTTCATCCGACTTCAAATCTACTTTCTTATATCTTCATGTCAATATCTCGACATGATTAAGGAAAATTATGAACTTATACAGGAGGTTTCTCGATATTCTGTATATTCATGCATTTCTGTGGATTTCAAGGAGTTCAGGCGACATTCGAATCGTACTGTACTGTTATACGATGGAGTTAATTCTTGATTGAGTTATCTACCTGACTTCAGGAGCATCAGAACTTCCGATGAAAACAAAATCCCCGTTTCTCAAATAATGTCTGAGATTTCGTGAAATCGTCTGCTCATACCGCTGCTGCTACAATAACGTGCTTGTGAAATTATAGATCCTTTATTTAGATGGATTGAAGAAACTTTCATTTGCAGACATTCCTGAGTTGGTATGATATCAAGGAACCTCTATTGTGCACATTTTCATCATCACTTGGGCAAAGTGATCATGACAATACAATTCTCAGCAAGTGAGAACGTTTCAATCATCCCAAAATTCAATATTACATCCCATTATGGAAGATCTGCAAAGATCGTGACAACAACTGTCGTAGGAACCTCAGTAGTGAGAGTTTTTTCTGCAGTAAAGCTCTCTTGGAGTGATAAGCATTACCAACATAATGTGTCAAATCTCTTGGGTCGTTTTGAGAACGTTCCAACTGAATTCTGATAGTTACTTTGGGAAAACTCTAGTTAAGCAAATTTTATTCACGAAATGTTATCTAATGAACGTAATAATTCAAAATTCTTGTTCTTAATGTGGAGCAGGCCCGTCTTCCGAAACTATGTCTCCATTCTGGAATATAATCCGGGAAAAAAGAATTCAGTCCTTGAAAAATGTATTTTCATAGTTGAATGGCCCTTAGACAGCAGACGGTCCATTCATGAATATAACCACTACTACTCATTATCAATACCATATTTTTTATACTCGTATGATTTAGTGATTCATACGCCTACTTACTTATAAACACAAGTTCAGTTGATTGTCAGTCATTTTTGTTTCCTTGATGTATCCCAGATAGCATACACAATCGCCTAAGGTCACCCTTAATGTATGGAAACACCTGATGGAGAGGACGTTCTATTTTCTACAACCTAGAAACATTATCAGGCGTGGATTTAGCGCCATTATTGTCCTTGATGAGTTCTTTCAGTGACAGCCTGAGGAGATTGAGGATTTCGTGCCTATAGATGTCTCCAGATGACATTTAAAAAAATTACGTGTCATCGAATCGAAAAAGCAGAGAAGAAGAAGAACTAGAAGTGTGGTTATGTCTCATGAATCATTGTTCAAGATACATCATCATAATAATGATAATGATAATATCGAAATCATCAAAATATTCCTCAATAACATTCATCATGCATTCATTAAATTGATATCCCACATAATGAATATACGAGGAGAACTTATCGCAACAAATTTAAAGAATGACAATTGATGGAACGAGGATAATAATCAGTTGATGATGACATTTCTTCCAGAAATTGAGGAGCAAACAGGTGAGTGGATTAAAAATCATTTATATTACTCTATATAAGATATTGATACATTATTCGTCTCAGGAGGTTATTGAGAACACAAACTTGATGATATCATCAGAGCAGAAATGTGTCATCAGAAGATATTATGGCTCTTTCGGAATTTATAAGAGATTGTATACAAGCTTGAGATTTCAGTAAAATCAGCATCAAATGAAGTATGTCCAGGCTTCAGAAATCACGAATGGAAACAGAGAGAACTCGCAAAAAATTATTACCTATAAGAACCTATATAATACCTATATAACCTGACCTAACATATCTGCCTTAGAAAGGCAAAAAACGAGGAAATATTAGAAACTGAATCGAAGCATGGATACAACCGGACATAAAATATTAATACAAAACAAAATTCTTCTAGAAAGGATATTAGGAACATAAACTTGATAATGTCATTAGCGCAGAGATTTTTCATTACAAGATATTTAGGCATCTTCAAAATCTATGAAATATTGTATGAAGGCTCCATCTTCCAGTAGACTCAGCTTCAGAAAATGTGTCAATGGTTCAAGAATCAAAAACAACATGGGGAAATCAAGCTGAAATGGATTTGATCGTAAGAGAATTCGAAATTCCTCAGAATAATAGGTTATAGACATATTAAAAGAAGGAAATTCTGCAAATATCATTATATCCATATTTTTTCAAGCAAATTATTATTTGTATCAACTTATCTCCCATTTCAGACAAGTGGTGGAGCCTTTGAGAAATGGAGAAAGTGACAAAATATGTAGTAGGATGCAACCCATTGAAAAAGATAATATGGCAAATATGGAAAAAAAAATCACGGGCTATCTGAGATCGGAGAGAGGAAGGGTGTGATCTTTTTGAAGTTGAAACCAGATTTTCCCGGTTTTTCGGCAAATTCACAAGTGCTATGAAAAAGTTGAATGGCGAGGTAGTAGGTAATAAATATATCGATATTTTATGTCTTCACATATTTTTCACGTAACCTCTAGATGTATGTGATAAATCCAAATAACCAGGTTTTCGGTTTCCTATCTCTATATTTCACAAAAACACTTTTTTCACGGAATTTGATGGGAACTCACCTCTCTTCGTACCGAATACACTTCAATTTTTTTTTATTCGGAATATTCATTTCCCCACCATTTTCTATCGAAAAAGTACAGTTATTTTTAATCGAGTATTTTCGCGTCAAATTAGCAGCTTCCAAAAAAAAAACAGTTACATTTTTGTTCGTTGGAATCTCTACTCTTTGATTATGTGAGAAAGAAAATAAATGTTCCAAAGAAATGCGAAGAACCGAAAGAGCAACCTTTCTAGATGAAATCTCCTTCAAGTCTTATCTTTAACATTCAGAACAACTATTTTCACTGAGAGAGCAGATATTTGGACCCAACAATTTTCGATTTGAAAGTTGAAATGATCAGAAATATAACACTGTGTTTGGGACATAAAAAGGAGTACAGGATGTTGGAAGTATCAGGGCAATATCAAGGTGAGTACCAATAGGTTCATGGCGCAAAATTTACATATTTGTATTATATCTTCAATGGGCTTATGTCACAAAAAAAATTCATTTGAAAATTCGATAGAACTCACCCAAACTAGCTCACCACTGCAAACCGTTTCTTGCTGTGAGCTCCCTACGTTTTATAACATATTATTGAAATCCCCGATTTTTCGGACCTCTGAAAAACGAGGCGATGATAAGACGTCAAAACCCTAATACTGAAACATGACTATTCCAGACAAAGATGAATGATACATGATTTCTGACAGAGTGGATAAGCCCCAGATCACAGTTGAAAGAATTAATATATCAGTTGCCTCAGTCTCCGTCGGGCGTTTGGTATTTTTTTAAACTATGGCGAGATGAGGTTTCTACGTCATGAAATGGTCATTCTTCAATAGATACTATCATTCATGTCCAGAAATAAAACATTCCAGTTAATTTTTCGATCGAATTATGTCGTCAATCATTATTTATGTATAAAAGGATTATTATAAATATGGTTTGAGTTGAAAGTTCAACTAAGGTGTACACGCCCATTGTTGGCTTCTCTTCGATTAGATTCGGAAAAAAGGGTTTCTGAATGCATATTTAGTTTTCAAGAGTTTATTTTTCAGGTCAAAATATGACTTCTTCCGCATGAATATGTGTCCGTAAACGCTATACGTTACCGATCTACAGAGCGTTGGAGTTTCAAGATTCTTCCTTTTTTTTTTCATAAGTTTCCTAGATATTTAGATGAAATGTGAAACATAGGTTGCCCCTAAGAGTTTTCATCATGAAGTAACCGAAGTGGTTATGTGAATCTGCAGTGAGATATTTTCTCAAGGATCAAACCCCTGTTTTTGCTCCATTATATTTCTTGTAGTGAGCCGCTGGTAGATTCTGGTACACGAACTCGTTTTTTTTTTAATTCAATATTACATCTCTTGTGCTTTCTACTGCTCTGGATTTGAAAATTGCGAAAACGTTTCGAGATAATGCATAAATCAAAAGGACACAGGTGAGAAAAAAATAATATCTGTTCGAACAGGAAGGTGACGACCACGATGCAAATTTACACCCATTCAATTATCACCCTGAAGCAATGTTATCTGAAATTACAGAAGTTTCATATTGCCACAACAAACTGTCAAGAGATTAGGCTAATCATCGGTGAAAACCGATTTCAAATAGGTAACGAGATTCGTGAGGAATTCTACTTTGGATTCAGGCTATATTTTGGACCACGACGTTATCAATGTTGATCAGTTCATGTTGCGATACACGTGCCCCATATGTGATGATTTGGCAAACGATATCAATTTGATATATATAATTAATAGTATCTCATTTGATCGCTTCATCGTATGATCATTGTACCAAACTTGTCCTGTGATGATCACTTTTTGAACGAATGAAAACAGTGAATGAGTAGTTTCCAGCCTGGAAATCTTCCACATGATAAAAATTTTTGTCTCGATACCTCGAATTTGTATAATGAAATCAATCAATATTGTTATATTGCAAAGGTCTAACGAAACATCAATCTGTACTCACCATTCTTACTTTTGGATCACTTTTTGCTTTGGTTGTAAGTCTATGTACTCTCCACACTTTACTAAACATGGCGCCAAAAGAAAGAGTGAATCCAAGAGTGAGGAACCATGCTCTCGTCTGGCAAATGATTGGGTAAACATCCGGTGTGACGAATCTACCATCCAATCCAAGTAAAAATACAGCAGTCAAGCATACTACGATGCCAAAGAGCATTATTGTATTACACACTGGATGCGATGATTGAATAACCCTGAAAATAATGATTCAACTATGATTATGTACTTGATAAATCATCTGATGATGTGATATCATAGGAAAGCAATATACAAGTTGAAATAAGAAGAGCGAGCACATTCGATTGATCTTTCGTAATGTCACAGATTTCTCAAACAAAGGGCGGCTTCCTTGATCTTTTGATGTCTGTTTATACAAGCGTGTCACAATAACAACTATCGAATATGATATTTTCGAATCGATGTCATAATATTCAAATGATCGAAAACACACATAATGAAAGAACGAGGTTTATCTACTCTCACTACCAAAGTACTTCGGTGTTGTTTGTTATGGTACAGTAGCATTAAAAAAAGCATGCAAGTATATTACGGAGAAAAATAAACATCATCCTATTCTGCATAAAACGGGCTATAGGGAATGGTTGTTCTCCAAAAGTTGACAGTAAAAGTTGTCATGGTTCTCGACAACTCAAAGCATTGGCTGAGCCAGTTTCACACAACTAGAACTAGGATCTCGAAAACCTCTCTTCTCAATACTTGTACGCTATTTTATTGAATACGACTGTACATCATCAATTCATATATTTTTTATTCATTTATGATTCATTAGAAAAAACAGACAGGCAGATCCTAATTTCATATTCCTCAACATTTCAGAGTACTTATCCAGAGCGCAACATGCAGTTGAAAAATGAAGAAAATATCAAAGATAATGATGATTGCAATACGAACGTAGTGATTATAGTAATAATAAGAAGTCTATGTTTCCATTCAAATCGAAGAGGACTGTCAATTGAGTATTTAATAACTGAATGATAGACAAAAAGTATAATAGACCATTTTAGTGTGTGGTGCCAACAAAATAAGTTAATTCTAAATACTGCCGAATCAATACCAGTCAAGTTCCATACACGGAGAAATAATATAGATAACTACCTACTCCGATTTTGATCTCAACTGGGAAAAGCATAAAGATCATATTTGTGCCACCTTGAACAAATTATACTATGCCATAAAATAGATGAAATCAAGCTCAGACGAACATGCACTGCTTAGCATTCACTATGCTATGGTCTATTCTCATATAAGTTTAAATATTATGGTTTGGGGTAGAGCAAGAGAAATTTCAAGAATTTTCATAACTCAAAAACGAATTATAAGACCTATATTATTTTGACATGGACTTCCGAGATAGCTGTCGGCCTACTTTTAGAGAAAATAATATACTGACAGTACCGTCTATCTTCATTTTGAAATACGTTATGTTCGTGAGGAATAACTCACGAAGTCAGAAGTATCATTCCTATTACAGAAAGCATTTTATAGTTACCAAGAATTCTCGAATGATAATATTGTCAATGTATTTCGATTGTGCTGGTCTATTTTATTTCTTTATATTCCTTCTGTACATACTTTAGGACATTTTATATATTTTATTTATACATTTATTATGTTTTTTGACAATCCATATGTACCAAGTGTATCAACAATGGTGAATAAACATTATTATTATCATTATTAATAAAGACTTCATATGGAGATGGTGCCTGGAAGATGACGAAACGTCATCACATGTCCTCACTGAGTGTCCAGCACTGACGCATCAGAGGAGGGCTGTACTTGGCCACATAATTTTGAGGCCAGAGGACGTAAAAGAGATTCAGCTGAGGAAGCTGCTGAACTTCTCCAAGGCAGTCGGCATACCCAGCTGAATGTCGTAACATGTGGGCGCACAATGGGCCCGAATAAGGAGGCCCACGTGCAGGGGGTTCACCCGCCCACCAGTGCTTCGAAGAAGAAGAAGAAGACTTCATAACAGACATTATCAATTCCATGAACTCATAAACTTCTCTGAATGGACCTTGAGTACATTAGTTGAGATATCGAAATTGCCATAACTTATTGTATGTGAGTGATGATTATATAGACTGCATATTCTCTCGATCGAGGAATTATTTCTATTCACATGATACCTGTCGTGGTCAAACTCTGTCAAAAGATACTGATGACTAGACTATACGATAGTTCACCCAGAAATATTGAGCTGTTGAGGATCCTTCGGCGTTCGAGGATTTCTAGACTGAATTCTTCTGTGATAGGTTCATATTATGTGAGTTCGGGTGAAACTCTGTATTTTCGACAATGCAGATATTTCAGGAATTGATTTGGTATAGTTTCTATAACTTTTTTCATGTTTTTCGTCCAGAATCCAATATCAAACATCCATATTCTATATTGCTACGCACAATTGTAGCAAATAGATGTTTTATTATAGACAAAGAGAGAAAATCAAAGTCATTACCACAACTAGTTCATAAAATGAACGACAATGGTAGATAACGAGAGAAAAACAACTACTTTCCTGGCTATATGCCACGCAGAACATTGCATTACATCCTTCCGAAACCTATGCGATAGTTCGTATAAACGAATAAAATCGCAAGTGTTTCCTTCCTAAACGCTGAACTGCGTTTAAGTGGTTCAGGAACGCTGACTCCCTGCAGACCGGCTTCGAGCTCTTGGCTCTCATCAGTACAGGGCTGTCCCAGATAGCTTATTGACCGCTATCTGGTGCGAACCTGACCCAACGTAAACGCATCTCAGCATTTATACCATACGAGGCGTTCGACGTCTGCGAAATGAAAACGCGAACGCCGAACGCCACCTGGGAAGGAAAAAAACACTCCAAAACAAAATCCCAAAATGGGAGTGGCTGCTTGCCTGACTGGCGTATTTTCAACTAGGGAAAAAGCCAAATACTCAAAGTGGAATGCATTGGTCACAAAGAGAGGTACTCAAAGTCATTACCACATTTAGTTCATAAAATGAACGACAATGGTAGATAACGCAGACGTCGAACGCCTCGTATGGTATAAATGCTGAGATGCGTTTATGTTGGGTCAGGTTCGCACCAGATAGCGGTCAAGATGCTATCTGGGACAGCCCTGTACTGATGAGAGCCAAGAGCTCGAAACCGGTATGCAGGTAGTCAGCGTTCCTGAACGTTTAGGAAGGAAACACTTGCGATTTTATTCGTTTATACAAACTATCGCATAGGTTTCGGGAGGATGTAATGAAATGTTCTGCGTGGCATATAGCAAGGAAAGTAGTTGTTTTTCTCTCGTTTTCTACCATTGTCGTTTATTTTATGAACTAGTTGTGGTAATGACTTTGAGTTTCTCTCTTTGTGACCAATGCATTCCACTTTGAGTATTTGGCTTTTTCTCTAGTTGAAAATACGCCAGTCAGGCAACCAGCCACTCCCATTTTGGGATTTTGTTTTGGAGTGTTTCTTTTCTTGCCAGGTGGCGTTCGGCGTTCGCGTTTCCATTTCGCAGACGTCGAACGCCTTGTATGGTATGAATGCTGAGATGCGTTTACGTTGGGTCAGGTTCGCACCAGATAGCGGTCAATAAGCTATCTGGGACAGCCCTGTACTGATGAGAGCCAAGAGCTCGAAACCGGTCTGCAGGTAGTCAGCGTTCCTGAACCACTTAAACGCAGCTCAGCGTTTAGGAAGGAAACACTTGCGATTTTATTCGTTTATACGAACAATCGCATAGGTTTCGGGAGGATGTAATGCAATGTTCTGCGTGGCATATAGCCAGGAAAGTAGTTGTTTTTCTTTCGTTATCTACCATTGTCGTTCATTTTATGAACTAGTTGTGGTAATGACTTTGAGTTTCTCTCTTTGTGACCAATGCATTCCACTTTGAGTATTTGGCTTTTTCCCTAGGTGAAAATATGCCAGTCGGACAACCAGCCACTCCCATTTTGGGATTTTGTTTTGGAGTGTTTCTCTTCTTGCCAGGTGGCGTTCGGCGTTCGCGTTTTCATTTCGCAGACGTCGAACGCCTCGTATGGTATAAATGCTGAGATGCGTTTACGTTGGGTCAGGTTCGCACCAGATAGCGGTCAAGAAGCTATCTGGGACAGCCCTGTACTGATGAGAGCCAAGAGCTCGAAACCGGTCTGCAGGTAGTCAGCGTTCTTGAACCACTTAAACGCAGCTCAGCGTTTAGGAAGGAAACACTTGCGATTCTATTCGTTTATACGAACTATCGCATAGGTTTCGGGAGGATGTTATGCAATGTTCTGCGTGGCATATAGCCAGGAAAGTAGTTGTTTTTCTCTCGTTATCTACCATTGTCGTTCATTTCATGAAGTAGTTGTGGTAATGACTCTTTGACATCATTGGAATACCGTAGAAAGGTCGGCGAACTTTCACTTTTTTATCGATACTTTCACGGGAAATGTGCTTCGGAAATCTCTGCCATCATCCCTTCACTAACATTACCAGTCAGACGAACTAGACAAGCCCAGTCAGCACATCTTTCCGTTGTCAACCTCGAAAGATGTCGAACAGCACTTTATCAAAACTCCTTCATCCATAGAACGGCTACGCTCTGGAATTCATTGCCTGAGGAAGTATTTCCAACTACATATAATCTCCAGAAGTTCAAAACGGATTTCAATACCTACCACCTATTTCTATCCTCCCTAGGAACGCACGATGTTCTTTGAACATTATAGGGATGCCCTTTCGTGCGCTCCAAGCGATAAAAAAAAACTCGAAGTCATTACCACAATTAATAGTTCATGAAATCAACGAAAATGGTGTAAAACGAGGAAAAGACAACTACTTTTCTGTCTATATGCCACGCAGAACATTGGATTACATCCTCCCGAAATCTATGTATTATTTTGTATAAAAAAGTATAAAAATGGTGGAAAAATCTAAATGAAATTGGACCTATTCCAGGATATTCCTCAAAAATTGGCAATTTGGCTAGAAATGTTTTTTTTTCTCCTTGCATTTGCAACATATCCTATATAAATCCATGTACGGGGCTGTGAAAGCTACTGTGAGATAGCAGGATATTCAACTGTGAGGCTGAAGATCCTGCTAGAGGGACACGTAATTATTTTGAATTATATTATTGTATTTTTCATCAGTGCTCGAAAAGGAACAGACTGTATCTACAAACGTCGAAACATGTCAAGGTACTTGCAT